GATGCATTTCAATTTTTTTAAACTTACATACTAATTAACAACCAATTTTTCATCCTAAAACATCGGAATTATGTAAATAACAATGAGAGAGCAGCAAATTTGTACGGAATTATCAAGAAATCACGAATTCCGTGGAAAACAATGCATTCCAAAACGACAAGTGAACGAAACAAATTCTATTAGAGCTGAAACTCGACTAGAAGTTGATGAGAAAACATTATGAATTGATCTCAGTCGGTAGTGTATGCCTAAGCAACAAGTCAAGTGACACTTAACAAAAGTTAATAAGAAACTAACCAGCATCAACCTTAAGTGGCATATCCACGAAATGCTTACAGTCCTGGAACAGACGTGCCTTTTGCACTGCGTCCAACAGGGAACCACCACAATAAATCAATTTTTTCATATCTACTGTTTGTGCGTGTATGATGTATTGCTGCAAATCTTGTTCGCTATTGGTGGACTGCACCATTGTTTTCCCGTAATCCGGAATTACACCGTGATCCGGTAGAGAAGAAGCTGATGGTAGAAGATGTTGATTAAAGGTGACAGAATCGATGGCCGAATCACCTACAAACAATTCAATCAATCAAACTATCGACAGGATCGAACATATCAATCAAAGTGGGGGTAAATTTACGGAATGTCTCAGGTTTCGATGTGCAATAATAATCACGATTTTGCTGCAAAATTTAGCGCTACACCGCAGTCAAAGTCGCTCGTTGAACCTATCTCGAAACATCTGAATGAGTGCTTTCTTCTCATCGATATTATCCCAACTCATCAGAAGCACGACCATTACGTGGGAAATGCCTCAACCGAAATTTTGTTTCAGGAGAAAATTTCGTAGTTGCGTACTGAAGAGAACGATTCGAAGAAATATTTCTTCCCTCATTCAATTGCTCCATTTTATTCCAATTCTAAGCTTCACTGGTCAATAACCGCATTTATAAAGTACAAGTTAACAATTAGATCACAACGATGACCACAAAATTCGAATACTTCGAGTTGAATAAGTTTTTAATTTCAATAAACTCAGCGCTTCGCTCAAGTCTATTATTCAGCTCAGAAAATTATCAGTCGAATGCGCACAAACTGTTATATTGAATAGAATGAGTAGTTGGGATGGATGTGTTCGAATGTGAAAGTGAGAGCTGTGAAAGAACGAGCCTTTTGATATGCCTTGATCAACCGACTGTCCGCTGAACGAAGGATGTTGACCGCCGAGCCTGGCAACACCGTTCCGTAAGAGCAGCAGTGGTGAGTTGATGGTGGATAAGAGCACGCCCGTTTCAGGCGGCTTTAGCGCAGAAGCAACGACCTTATCGTACGAAGGATTCAATGCAAGTGTGCCTTTATCCCGGCTGCTCAATCCACTAAATACTCTGTGCCGGGATGCTTTGATACCGCCCAATTGCAAGTATTCCTTCAGAAGACGATTACAACACAGACGCAGTAACACGACACGCCTCTTGTGTTGTTCGATAGCCATCTTGTTACACACACACACGAATAAATGAATATACACAAATGTCGAGATTATTAGTATTATGTGATCGTCACTGATGTGTTTTTCGTTACCGCAGATTTTGCAGTAGTTGTCGTTCGTTGATTTGCGATAATAATGTTGATGATATTACTGATATTGATAGCAATTTGTATTCTCTTGCATTCGTTTGATCGACACCTATCATGATATTATGTACATAAAACGATCAAACTAAATTCACCTGAAATTAAAATTAACATCAGTTTCCATAGATACTTGCATCAAAATCGATTAATACCGCATCGCATATCTCCACNNNTCCGCATAATAATGAAAAGTAATCGATATGATCGAAACAGGTAAAACAGAAATTTAAAAAAAAACACAAATGAAGCCAAGATAAATGCAGATAGAAAATTAGGCTGATTTCTGAACAGAAAAAATTTCCAGTACATACATAACGATAATATCGAGCCAAAATGAAGAGTCATTTGAGCGCGCATGTAATCAATTGATAAATTGTGTTCAGTGAGATATTTTCGTGATAACAACATAAAATTATAGCAATTGACGATGAGAAAAATACTCGTATTTGGTAGTTGTGTGTGGCATTGCATTATTGAATTGTGGAACGTTAGAAGTATGGAGCATATCCCCTTATATCTTTGTTTTGAACGAAAAATTTCCCAAATGGCTCGAACACGAAGCTGATTGTGATTCTAAAATTGAGCTTTATCCTCACTGAATGAACATCCGAATTATTTTTTGGTTTTGGCTCTGAGTTTAGTATATGATAGGAATTGTTCTCAAGCAATATGGATGTATCATGGCATGTGAAATACGTAATCATTCTTGACTCATACTTGTTTTTATGTTGTTACAGCACATTCGCACATCACGCTCATGCATCCTCGTCATGTGATTAATGCTTGTATCGATCGACACGCACACGAACAACCTTACTGTGTGGGAGCCGAATCAAAAACTATCGAATAAGAGGCTCAAACTAACTCGTGATTATGTTCGATATTCGTAGGCTTGAAACTGAACGCATTTAACACTTCAGCGATTTGTCGTTTCTGTGAATTTCTTCCTTAAACACGGAGACTGCTTTCAGCTGCTTTCATATGTTCAGATTTTTTGGAATGCAAGAGAATGCAGAGAGGAAAGTAGCGAACGAATCGATTCAAACAATCAAAAATGTTTTCTTCCGTTTTTTTGTTGAAACAGACTGACGAAAAAAAACAGCAAAGAACGGTCATATTTGCTGCAAGCAAATCAGGTGATTTGTGGAAATGGCATAATATTTGAGTTCAAATATACCTGAAAAAATCGAC